CATTTGGCAAAACGAGTGACGAAAAAGTTGAGCAATAACTGTCAATAACAAGCAACTAGTACGGATGGGAGACTACAATATCCCAAAGATCCGTATCAACATTAAACGGATATACTTGATTCATGACACTAACTTGAGATTCATTCTGAAGGGAACATATTGACGATGGAGAAGGACAACAACAAAAATTGTAGCCATCTTGAGATCACGGACGGGATGGTGGACGTCGAGTTGGCAAAAGAATTACTCGGTATGAGTGTTGATGATCGGAATAAGCTTCACGAAGAAATACACGGAGTTCGATGCCAGGCAGTTAAGGAAACTCCTGAACTCATTGAGCGATCGCTCTTGGAATTTGATGTAGAACTCAACAAAATCGCTAAAAAAAATCAGAAAAAAAGCAGCAGTGATGAGAACGCATATATGATTATGCTCTCACGTCGTAGAGAACTTCTTCAAGATCAAGACGGAAACGTTCAAAAGAATCACTATGCTTTAGATGATCCAGCATTTCGCATGCGATTTTTGCGCTGTGAGCTCTTCATGGCTCGAAAGGCGGCCGAGCGATTCTGGAAATACTTGAATTTCGTTTACGAACAATGGGGAGAGATTGCCCTGGACCGGCCTGTTTGTATGGAAGATCTCATGAATAACAAGGAACACCGAAAGTATCTCAAAAGGGGACACATGCAAATCTTGCCGTTTCGGGATCGGAGTGGGCGGAGAGTGCTTGTGCACTTGGGCAATGCGCTTCGAGGAGTTGACCCTATAGTGTTGAGCAAAGTTATTTTTTTCTTGTATGATAGCTGCACCAGAGACTGTATCGAAAGCCAACAAGCGGGAATCGTTGTTGTAAATGAGTTCCAAAGCTGGGACATAAATGTAGCGAAATTCTTCTCCATGGAGGCATTGGGAATGATGACCCGGTCTCTCGAATGTCTTCCCACTCGATTAGTCACGCAACATATGTGCGTTTCTAACACTCCTGGCTCTAGAATGATCGTGGATTTATTTTTTTTGCACGGATATAGAGACAAGAGAACCAAGGTGAATATGCTATTTCACCGGGGTTCCGTGCAGGAGACAAGGTACAGTGTTCGATCTTWTGGAATTCCGACGCAACTCTTTCCCATGACGGMGACAGGAAACATCAAATTGGTTTACCTTAACCAATGGATTAAAACAAGATTAATTCTCGAACAACAGGAGCACATACAACGCCTGAAACTGGGCACAGAATCGTATCTAAAGGGAAAAGATAAATCTGGTCAACAAGAACAAAGCACCTTGGCAAACCATGTTGACAACACAAGCAYCGATGGCAATGAAGATCCAAATAACATTCCAATGGAAATAGAGCAGAAGAAATCTGCTCGAGAGGACCGACAAGTCATCGTGGAGTGCCCGTGTCTAAATGACGTCGTCTTTCGGCAGGGAACACCATCATGGGRTAATCCTGGCAATGCGACTTTTCGCCAACTCATGTTGGACCATTTCGCAAAACAGGAGCTGTTGAAACGCAACACAAATGAAGGTTGTACTAGTGAAAGCGATGATTGTGTTCTGAAAAACGCKAACTCAAACGCTCATGCCAATGACAACTTAGTCTTCTGCGATTGGCTCATGGACGAAATAGAAGTAAAACGAGGAGGACGATWTCTCGGATGGGACAAAGAGCGAGTGGCTTGGGTCCAAATGAAAACCGATCAAGAAAAACAACTAGCCAAGATTCGGCAAAAAGTTTTCATTGCCATATACAACTGCGGTAGAAACTTTAATTCAGCTTTACATCTACCGGTACAGAACCAGAATGTGATCGGGCAGTTACGAAGTAGCAGCAGGAATGATAATTTGAACACGACAACACACACTACTAAAGCGAATCGTCCGGCAAAACATTTAACAATGGACAATAGCTACGGGAACCGTGGTGACAGTGGCGATGAGTCATTGCAGTACCAGTTCCTGAATGAAGGGAAAAGAGCATCTCCACCGAACGGCACTTTCTGCTTAAGTGTTTGCAAGAGAGCTAGTAAGATGCCGAAGAAAAGTGGAAATCATCCTTGACGATCGGCTGGCTGCCTTAATGTAGTAGAAGCAGCAAGCAGATATTCGAAAGACAATGGTAATGCCCGTAAGTGAAGAATGCATGGTTCGTTCGAACAAACTTTGATTCGCACTCATGCGTATGCACGTCTGGGTGTGTTTGTTCTTGGAACTGTCTAGGTTGCGAAGGTGTAATTATGTTTCATCGAGCTACTACTGGTACTACCCATCAATTTTTTCCACTCTGCGCCTCTTCTTCGTGATCAATAAAGTCTTCAACTTTGTGACAGAAAAGAAACGGGGATCTAAAAAATAAATACATTAAACAAGGTATTAGACGAAGTCGTTTTACTTTTTTGCACCTGCCGGAACTTGTTGACACCACAAATTATTCCCGATTTTTACGGTTCCTTTCGCACCTTATACTCGTACGAATAATCAGTAAGAACTCATCGTATTCATATTTCAGGTCCGAAGCTTGGCGCAATTTTTCCGTTTTGCATGGTACGTACGTACCATTGGTCGATTAATAGAGTACGAGACCTGCGATAGTAAGGTACCTAGCGTACATAATACTGTACTACGAAAGTATGATTGCGCTGTGCGATGTGCGATGGGTGTTTCGTGTTTCGTGTTTCTAGTTTCTATGTTGTGAAGTGCTATCGGATTGCGGGCATGCAACGGATTCCAAACGGATGATCATCGAGTCGACCAGTCTTATATGCACGAAAMGAAACAAATTCCGCGCCCATTCCTTTTTTTCTTCGACTTCGACAGTATGATCATCTTTGACGTATTATGTGCCGGTACGGTAARTATTAGAAGTTCTGTATTACTATTTTTAGCACGTCAATAACCAGTGTTGCCGTACTTGAAGATGATGCCATGCCGGGGCTGTGAATACAGACTTGAGAAGCATGTGCAGCATGTCACTCCTCGAAAAGCACGCACGAGTTTCGTACGAGCATGGTACGCTCGGTCACTCCTTCGCACATCAAAATAAAAATTCGCGCCAGGAAATTTCTGACCAACAACGATGCCAGCTTCCGATGCCGCCTTCCAATGAGTGCTAGTGCGATTACTACTACTATGAATTACTCGTACGCTTACGTATCACTCGTAGTAAGTATCCACGAATACGACGGCCTTCTAGTCCCTTACACGATTAAGAAAGCGAAAAATCAGAGAGTGACAAAATTTCTTACGTTGTCGTCACCGGAACAAATCCTTGTCGGATTTTCGAGAGGAAACAACAACACAATAGTACCGGTACGTACTGGCCCCTATGGAAAAGCCTTCGTTTTCGCTTCTTTCCTTCACGGTGCTACGGATTCACGCACCAAGCAAAAACAGTTCCTCTACAGAGCCGTGAAGACAGAATTGTGYAGCAAAGAGTTAGTCAGGCCAGCAAGTTTGTCGCTTGATCCCATGCAATAGACGCGYCATCCAAATCAGTCYAATCCAATCTAATCCAATTCAAGGCAAGGCAATCGAGTGAAAGTAAATCGAGTCCAATAAAGAAGACTACGTATAACAAAAGCCTATTGGGACGATACAGAGACGTCCCGCAACGAGACAAAGGACTGCGAGCGCACGTGGGAGCGGTTTCCCTACAAAGAACCAGTTGGATTKTGCGACCGTAGCAGTAACATCAAAAGCTGCGTTTCTTCGGTGCATATGCACACGAGCTGTAAAAGACCTCTCTCCGCAACACGAGATCCATCATGCCGCCTTCCTTGTTGTTTGCCAACCACGATGCCACCAGCACCAACGACAACGGCGACGATCAAAGCGATTGCTCCGCGAAGAGTGCCGCGACCGAAAGTAGCACCGTATCGGAATTCTTGCGAAGGATCGTCCCTCCGGRGAAATGGTCYATCTTTTTTCCGAACCACGCCGCAAAGTCAGAAGCAAGAAACAAATCTGCAGACGGCAATCACAACGATATTGGCAGAAATGCCGTGGACATGAACAACGAAAAGAAAATCAACAACAACAAATCCATCGATATGCCCCCGTCGCTCCGAATTCCAATGGGGGATGACCGCAACCGCCAACGCGAAAACAAAGCGCACCATACCAAATCTAGGAACGCAAGCCCCCACGACCCAATGTTACTGCCGGACAACAATCAGCTCTTCGACAATTACACATTCGACGCCGTCCCCTTCAATGGTGACATGGACGATTTCCCAAAGCAGCGAACCAACCCCACAAAAACAAAGCSGCAGAATCCGAAGATCCAAAATAACCCGGACACAAACATCAAGAACATGACCATCGAGATTCCGATGGGCATAGTGGTCGATTCYATCAAGAGCCGGACCATTAGCAACATCAGYCCGATTGGGAACGTCAGCAGTCACGTGCTGGGGCTGGGGCATCGCAACAATCCCTTTTCTAGCCGTCAGAACCGTTCCGGTGGCCATCCCGACGGTGACAGCGATAGCAGCGACGACGATCTCGATCGAATCCTTGGAGCGATAGACGACATTGGCGACGATGCCCATAACCAACGACGCCGCCGCCACGCTTCGTCGAAAACCCATCGTTCGAAAAAGAAATGCGATAAAAAAGCGGGATACCGCAAGAAACGGTGGATCAAGAGCAGTGGTTGGTGTGCTCACATGAAGCGCCGGAGCAAGACCGACACCCCCAAACCCGGTTCTGAGGAGAAAACACTCAATCGAACCCTTGACACAGGTTACAGTAGTTGCGACGAAAACAGCGTGGAAGGTGTAGATCTCCGCGAAAAAGGGGACCGCAACCAACGGCAACGCACTCCTTTCGAAGAGAGCATTGAGGTCGAGGTGGGAGCACTGGTCATGGAAGAAAAGCGATCTCGTGGCAAAAAAAACAAACGCGCCACAAAATACASCGGCGACARGCCAAAGAATTCAAACTCGATTTCAATTTGGTGGTGGATATTGCTTGGTGTGCTCTTGGCAATCGTCCTGGCGCTCACGGCGGGACTCCTTGTTCCTTGGCGCAGCAAAGCGGATACGGTCGTTGCAGGAGCCCAAAAATTCACGGATGTCGCTGCCGCTGACGACGACTCGTTGGCCCCGGCAACCATCACTGGTGGTGATACCTCATTATCGTCCACTGCGGCCCCTTCCGTGCKGTCGAGAATTTCTGAGCCAACCCCCCTGCCAACACGTTTGCCCGAGTCTAGTAGTATTCCCAACGACAGCAACAATAACGGAGCGCCTTCTACTCTTCTTTGGAAGGATCAGCCACCGCTTTGGGCATCGCCCGTGTTCCAACCCTCTGTTTCGGTGGTGAATACAGAACYACCCAGCATCACGAAGAGCCCCTCGCAATCACCGTCGATTCTCGAGCACGCTACTGATGCCGAACCCGAACTGGTCTTTCTGTACGACGACGACGACGACGACGACGATGATAACGTTAACAGCCTAGTGACGCTCGATATGGGTCCCTTGATTGGCCACACCACTCACGAAAGTGCTACGCTGTGGGCTCACTATCTAAAACCGGCGATGTATTTGTTCGAGGAAGACTACAAGCTGAAGGTGAAATTGTACGAGCAACAGCAATCCGAAACAAAGAATGGCCGCTCCTCGAAACCAACACTAAAGCTGATCCGGACCATCGACGAAGTCCCACCCGACWTGACTAGGAACAATGCAGTCTTTTGCACCATCGAAAGCCTCCAGCCCCTCACGGCGTACTACTATGAGATGTCGATTCTCGGAARACGTGTTGGAAGAGGATCGTTTCGAACGGCACCAGTCCCTCCATTTTCGTTGCARCAACAGTCGCCGTCGCAAGGCGAAGACGTCGAAGAAGGAACTCCGCAAGAAAACGATTGGGCCGATCCAATGTTTTCGAGAGAGAATATGAGGAAGCCTCAAACGATTTCTCCAGACGAGTCTTTGCCGTTAGTTCACAAGCGCGATGGGAATGGCGACTACGCCGGCGTGAAATTCGATTACATCCTAGCCTCGTGCATGGATCGAAGCGAGCAACCAGTCCAGGCCGTGTGGGACGAAATTGCGTATGCTTTTTTTCGAAATCATACCAATGGGAAAGAGCAACACWCATACTCGCAACACCAAAACAAGAAATATCCCGACTTCGCAATCCTGGCTGGCGACACGGTCTACATGAAGGAAAATATCGACGTTGACGAGCGAAACGGCGTCAATTTCAACCGATTGTGGGAACGGAACAAAGCACAGCGAACCGAGCCCCACTTTTCCGATTTCATAAGGAATACGCCCATGTATGCCACCTGGAACAACCACGACTACGGATCGGAGTGGAGCAATGTYTATCAGTTAGGAAAGGAACACTCCCTCCACGCGTTTCGATCGCTCTGGCCGACTCCAAGGAGCGGCAACAACCACAACAACAACGGAATCTACTATAGTTTTTACTGGGGAGACGTTCACTTTATCGTTACGGACGATCGTTGGCACCGCGATCCAGCTTCTGGGAACCGTCTCGGCCCCGAACAAACCAATTGGCTTCAATCCGAGCTCGTTCATTCGAGGGGAACCTTCAAGGTTGTAGTCATCGGAAGCGATATAATGGAGCGAGGCTGGGGGTCTGATCTCGAGAACATCGGGGATACCGTCCGCCTCCATTCCATTGACGGGGTCCTCTTTCACGCTGGGGACATCCACCGGAACGAATACAAACGCCTCAACACGGGTGGGTTCCCCTACCCCGTTACACAAATCACATCCAGTGGGATTGCCAAGGTTTGGAGACGTCCCTTTGTCCACATTTCTGTGGACACCACCGCGAGAGAAGATCCCTTTCTCACTGCTAGCTTTTACGGGGCATCGTCGGCGACGATGGACGATGAAAGTGATACCCAATGGATCAACAATCCGAACATCACCTGCAGCTCCATTAGGGGCGAAAACCGTGACCAGGAGCATTCCTGTACTGAAACGATTCGATTGAGTGACCTGCGTGTTGTCGCATCATAGAATCCTGCGCCCTAGAGTCAATCGTATGRATATCAAGGAGCCACCACAGTGATGTAAGAATTTACAGTAGGGCCAAGTAGATTCATCGGGACAAAGATCCAATCCAGTATACATAGTGGAATAGTTTTGGCCGTCAGCTAGTGCTCTACAAATAGAATCAAGGTTATAAACAAGATTGTGCGAGCTGTTCTTGTTCTCATAGTTGTGAAAAATCTTTAAACAAGCGTAAATTCAAAATGACTTTGATGTTTCTCAAGTGATTCAAACTTGATTTTGTCTGATTTTCATTTGATCATACTTCAAAATGTTGCTATAGACTCCAGCAACATCATTCTAGCTAGTAGAAGTATGAAAATCYAATAATGGGCAAAGCGTTAATCCTAGTAAAACTCGGACTTTTAATTTAACGCTCGGAATGCTGGGTGCTCATTTGTAACAGAATTTAGAATTTTAACTGCTGTTTGTGAAATACGGTATTGGGGTGCTCCCCAATAACCTGTGAAATATTGTTATGTTGGCTACGGTGCACTTGACTTCACTATCTTTAGTGCGCGGTAGCCAGTAACCTTGAAGAATTCTTACAGCCCTGGACTTACCGAGGAAACAAAAGTATTGTATCGTACAATTGTACCAYATCAGACCCCTGATCAGGGGTACCGTACGTACGGTATTGCAATAATTTTGAGTCGGGCTCTCCCCTTTGGAATTTTGGCCACTGCCGCTCGCTCCTTTTATCTATCGAAGCATTATTTGAGCACGACTGGTTGTTTAACTTCCTTGGAAAAAGTTACTCTTAAAACCAAGGTGCACTTATGAAAATATCTTGAGATTCGATGGTTTTCCGATTCTTTTACTTAAAGTAATGCAACTGCTGATCGTCGACTTGCGGACAAACAAAAGAGATTGATTATATTACTGAAGATATCTTTGAGAAACGGGTTCCCTAAGAGGATAAGGTTCATACCGTAACTTTATTCTTCTTCATAGTGGTGGTGCATAAATAATTATTACGCATAGCATTATTAATGAACACGTAGTACGAGTAACTAGGTTAGATGATAGTTACTGTACTAGTTAGTGATTCTTCGGCTGCAGCTAGTCCGTGACTGGAATGAAGAGAATCGTTGTACAGGACAGTGCGGTACCGTAATCCCCCCCCCCCCTTCCGATAAGAGCTTGCAAGATTGATCATGAATTATTTTTTTGATTTATTTGCTTCCTGTTTGTGACAAAGAAGAACATATCTTCAATTGCCAACTTGCCACGTTCACATACCGAATGTCTCTGTTCGGAGTACAATTATTGAATCTATGAAATAGCTGCTGAACAGAAAAGAAGTTGTCTTCGTACAGTGTTTCATTGTCGCGATCTTCACTGTAACAAATGGGCTGCAACAGATGACAATTGCATAAGTTTTTTTTCGAAGAATAATGAATATCAACAACGTGTCACGTTCGACAATATTCGTTTCCATGAAGTGTTTGTGATTTGGGCAGTGCTTGTCATAGGACTATTCTTTTTTCTGACACCAAAATTTCCGATTGCACGATCGATTCATTCTTCTTCTTGTGGTGTAGCACAAATACTGTATTAAAAAGAAGAATGTATTTTGTACTAAAAGTGTCTAATTCGCTAATTTTCGCTCCGATTAGAAGCGTCTTCATTGGATCTTAAACAGAGAGAAACGTCCTCATTTACAGTTGTAAGTTACGCTGGTACGTACGTCACAATTGCAAACAACAGCGTCAGCGTCGACACTACCGGTACAGGCATTTATTGATTCCAATAGACCGAATGTATAAATTTTTGTTGAAATTAAATTATGATTACAGGTCTCATACAATAAAGTATTCTAGAGAGGTGATTAATTAAATTCACCATGCTTATTAAGACTGGGTTCTCCTTAATTTGAAATATGGGAATRACGATTTTGACGAAGACCTCCTAAAAAGAAATAATGATCCTAGTTCTACGTAAAAGTAAAGGAACATTGATCGTGAAAAATACTTATGCTGCGTTTGGTGTGTTCAACCAAAGAACTCACTTCAAAAGGTTGCAAAAAATGGTCTGCTGAGATTCTNATTGATCGTGAAAAATACTTATGCTGCGTTTGGTGTGTTCAACCAAAGAACTCACTTCAAAAGGTTGCAAAAAATGGTCTGCTGAGATTCTGGAACTTTATGTACGTAACGTAAATATTCMGATTCTCGCGATCAAGCAAAGGAACCACTACAAGAGGGGTGATTAAGTGACTGAGAAATTTTCGGCGGGTTAGTACGGTAGATATCTTTGAATTGTTATTGTGCTCCCGCTAATGCACTTCTTTACTAAGAAATAGAAGCTCCTGGTTCTCCAAATGGAACCGTTGGGCCTTTTCTACTACAGTCTACAGACTTTCTGAACCTACAAGAACCTAACACGACAAAAAAAAGAACTGAGTACCATCAAAATTGAATACTTTTGGGAAAGAAAAAATATCAATTGAATCTAAACTATCAGTTTCGTAGCGGCTTTTCTCCTTCTGTTTAATTGCAACGTTCCAACGTTTTAAAGCTYATTTCTCACATAATCGTCAAATTTTATCATCGATTTCACCGGCTCATCTTTTCGGTAGGTTCGATTAAACCAATGCTACTTTGATTTTTATCTACAGTTSATGGAGATTGCTTTGCTGTCGTTGCCCTTTGCGTTATTGTATCATGCAACAATCCAAAAATGGGGATTGCAGAATTTTRCTTCGCAACTTACGAATCATTATTTTACCGCAATAGAATACAAGACTTATGCCAATACTCACTTTTTGGTTGCAATATATCCATCGCATCATTTGTATTTTAACAAATCGCATCTAATCAYACCGAAGTGTGTCTAATATAACAATGGTAACTCATCAAATTAATGGCATCCGGTGCCACGAATCAGCGAAGCCACCAACCGCTAGCGACGTCGACGGTGCCAGCAGTTCAACAACAAGATCGTGTTCAAAGGCTTTGCCGCGGCAAAGAAACAATTCCATGACATTATCCTCATGGGTTTTGGTCTACGAATTGAACAAGGACGGATGTTGTGCTCTTCTTCAAGGTGACTACGACGAGGCCAACCGGTTGTTTGAACTGGCCCTGCAAAAGCACAAGGACATGATGATGAAATGGTCGACGAAAACACATGAAGAGGAACTTCCATACGATTCCAGCCAGAGCTTTCACTACAGCAACAGATCTTGCAACGACAACTGCATGGATGAGGAAGAAGCCGATCTTGGGTCTAACTTTGCCGACTGCACTATTTCCTCCCCACAACATGTGCAACTGAGAGCTCCAGATCCGGTGCAGCCCCTTCCTGCTATTTCCATGATGAGCTCCTGCCCTATGGTGCGCACATTTTCATATAGCGGGCAGAACAACAGCAATTACGACGCGACRTACCACACGGTCTACGCCCTGCCCATCCTAATGAGCAAGTACGAATGGCAAGCTGCCTCCAACACCGATCGATCCTTCGCCATTATTTTCAACACGGCTGTCTGCAACCACCTTTACGGAATGCAACAGCGAAAGCAGCAGGAAACAGAACAAAAAGCAAATGGCAACAACAGCCATCACCCACRGCATATCTCTTGGACCCAGTCCTTTGGCATCGCCAAGCTTTTGTACCGATTGGCACTAGAAACAAAGGTCTCGAGCACGGCCTTTGTCGGCATCGAGTGTTACCCGGCCATCTTTAACAACATAAGTCACTTGTGCAAGGCCCTAGAAGGGTATCACTCAGAAGAGGCSCATAGATACGACGTGCTACTTCTGAAATCAGTGTACTGGATGATGGATCTACTGGGCAGCGACAAGGGCATTCGAAACAGCAACGCTCGACGCGAGAGTATTGATAGCACCACACCAAGGACAACGAATTCTTCTACTGCTACTCCTGGCAACAACGACAACCCCGCCTACGAAACATTGATCGACAACTTTTTGGGTGATGTTCTTCGTGTGGTCGACGATGACGAACCCATGGAAGGAGAAGCGGAACAAAACAAACAACAGCAGCAAAYCAACGCAATCGAAYCGCCGTTGTCGTACCACGCTATCGTGAGGGACGCCAGGGACTACGATGAAATGATGGACGCATTCCTGGAAAACGTCTTCTACCTCGTTTCGTCACCAGTCTTTGTGGAACCTGCGGCGGCGGCATAAGTCGCAGGCACGGCATCGAATTACTTATCGCTTGTAWTGGTATTTATTTATTTTGGTCCAATTTCGCGKGCACGAWKCAATCCCCGAYAATTAATTGAAAATTGGAACCAAATACTTTATTCTAAAGTAACATAAAATAAGAAACACTGGCTCGTTGTTTATTCCTTTTCATGTGTGAAACCCGAGTCGCAAAATGTGCGAAAGCATTACATGTCTATTTATTTATTGCTCTTTGCATCTTCGTTCGGTACGTTAGTTTTCGCGATGTCATGGCTGCTGCTGTGACTCCGGAAGTACTACTCCTACTCGGATCCATTTCGAAGTACAGAACTTCGTATTTGGACGTCAACGATCAAMCGATGCCTCTGAAATGTTTCTCTTGTGCTATGCTGTGCCTCTCTGTATTCTCGTGTTCACAATAAGTAGTACCGGTAGAAGTATTCACTAATAACTCATGATTGATTTTTGGCCTCACGTTCACACTTCGAAAGTACGAAACTACGGTAAGTAGTACGTACCTGTACTTTCCCATTCGTTGAACATGGAAGGAGAGAAAATTCAACGACGTTGCGAGGAAGTACCAGTACGGCACAGTACAAAATGCTACGAGTACATATTCGTACGTTTTCGGACCAAAAAGATCCAAAGGGCAGTTTTAATGGAATTGAATCTTGTAAGTCTTTCTACTGTTCGTACTGTACAAGACACAAAAATAGGCTAGATAGATCGTACAGGACAGGTACATAACAATATATCAACTAATATTGCAACCATGTAGGACACAGTACAAGTTCTATGTACATGAGACAATGTGCACCAAGCGTGCGCGGAGCCTAAGAGTATCAGCGTGTTTGATGAGACGTACTCACACGATTACACACAAGGCAAATTCTATAGAAAAAAAACCAAGTCAGGAGAGTAATTCTCAACAATCACGATAACAACAACAACACCGACGCTTTTCCTGTCAGCTACTAAGATGGTCCTCTTGTTGAGGATAGCAAAATACAGCAAAATACTACAGTTCACATATACACAGTACACTATATTTTTATGTTTTTTTCGATGTAAGAGGGGGGACAAGTAGTAAGCAAAGAAGACACGCAACAAAGAACAACAAGCGTCGACGACGAGGACGATTAAGGATTAAGAAGCACCACCAACAGCAGTTGGTCCTCGAAGCAACGCGTGGCCTCCATTGGCCTCGTGAGGACCCATAGCTTTAAGGATGTAGGACACCCTCTTGGTTGGACCACCGTATACTGCATAAATTCTTCTAACAGCAACTTCAGAAGAGCAACCAGCCCTGATGAGTCTTTCCATGCATCTCCAGAACTTCAAACGCCTGCAGTACTTGCTCTTTACACGACCTCGTTCAGCAGCAGTGAACTCCTTGGCAGGCTTATTTAGACCAACACCAACTTCCCATTCATTCCACAGGACATAAAGATCATGAGGACACTTGCATAGCTCAGCGTTGCCAGCACCAGTCTCGGACGCGCCACTGTTCAACGCACGAGGACGACGGGGCCTCCTTCTTACGACTGGAGCCATTGCAGCTCTTTGGGACAACTCGATTGCTTTATTAAGCTTTTGGTTGAACTTAGCCTCAGCTGCAATTTGTCGATTCTTGATCTCATTCACTTCATTAGCTGTGGCAAAAAGCTTGGAAAACATTGCATGATTCCACTGCAACTGAGTCCGTCGAATCCCAACAGCAGTCCCTGCTCCACCAGCACCAGCAGGGCCTCCRGGATTGTCTGGATCTGCAAGCTCATCAAAGTGCACCCGTCCACCGATCTCAGTACACATCAGCTCAACGCGCTTCATAGGATTCACATCACGATCCAACCTGTCAGTAACTGGAAGACTATAATTCAATTGAATCCAAGAAGCAACAACATCGCTCTTTACATCCTCGGGAATTAAGCCAGATGCTTGCATTGCCGGATCAAAGCAAGCCCATAGCAAGGCCTTTCCTAGAATTGCTGCCACTTGGCTACCAAATACATTAGCAATTGCTGGTGCAACAGAAGAAGCAAGCCACTCATCCGTGATTCCGTTGCTTTCATTCGTTGGCTTGTAAAGACAGACTCCTCCAAAGCAAAGCTTCGATGCAATTTCGATATCAGGCCAGGCAAGCTGAGTGTCAGTGTACCTATCTTGCTGGCGTTTAGACTTCCATCGAGCTCTATAATCAACATTGTCCTTGCTTCCCCCACACTGTCTTGCATAGGTGGCGGAAAACTTCCTAAAGGAATGAGTTCCCAGATTGCCTTCCGAATCTGGTCTTTCAGCAACAAATGCTTCATTATCAAACACAAAGCGCTTGATGAATCTCGAGTAAGCAGCCTTTCCTTTGTTGATCTCTTTCTCAATATCCTTTGCTTGGGACCTCCTGTCTGTAATTCCTTCAGTGAACAGCCATTGGCTTGCAGCTCCATCGCCATCTTTGCACCACTTTTCAAGGAATAAAGCAAGTGCCAGCACAACACAAGACCGATGGTCCATGGAACCAAGCAAGATTTGCTTTGGGCAATCGCGTTCCTCCCTTACATTCTTAGACCATCTTAACTTTGCTGTAAGGAACTGGGGAAACTCAGCTGATCTTTCTAAGCTGTCTTTCCCCACATGGGCCATATCATCGTTACGACCAATCAAGTGGAACTGGAACTTAAGCATTGCAAGGAACCTCAGCCGATTGGTAATGGAACCATGATTCCCCATCAGTTCTAGTGTTTGCAAAAACTCATTCTTTGTAAGAGGCCTATCCATGCTGCTCGCTTGTCCAAGTCCTCTAGTTTCCTTTTTAATTACAGCTGCAATCAAATCGTTAACTTTCTGTGACTTAGTAGGATTCCCACTACCAACACCAGCAACGATGGTCCATTTGTGCAGCTTGTTTGGCATGAAGTACGATATTGCCTTCTTGTAGTAGATTAGAGTGGTAGATCTACCATGAATAGGATTATCGTCGACACCAGGATCCTCCCTACCAAACACTTTCTTTGCAAAAAACTTGTAGATATGATCTGGCGTTAGATGACTCAGCTGCTCTGCCGTGAATATTGTATCGCTTGGAAAACGATTATCGCCGTTGGGTCCTCCTCCTTCATAAACATTTCCGTGTACATGATCCATTAATTCAAGCAGAATCTTATGATATCTCCCCCACTGTCCTGGCTGGTTCACGTCTCGTGGAGGCGTTGCAGTCCCGCCCCTTCTTTTCCGAGCCCGGACACGCCRCCGATTCGTCCCGCCTCTTGGTGTTCTTGCCATTACTAGTAGTAGTAGTGGTAGTACTACTAGCTAGTAGCGTTGCTTGTTTGTTGCTGTTGCTGGGGGTTTTGCTTGTACTCGTATGCGAGGAGCTTGCTTGGGGTTTTGCTTGTACTCGTACGTATGCAACGATTATTTTGTGAGCTAAAATTGCACCTCTCGTGACGAAAAAATGCACCTCTCGTGACAAGGCGAGGGAGTTGCAAAATTGTTGCATACTCAGTGTAATTTCGTCTGTCTTAAGCAACCAAAAGAGGTACAKATGCGACCAACAAAAAAATGCTGGTACGGTTGCTGTGTAGAATTTCTACCACAAAATATGTAACACATGTAAGTACGGTGGAAAATAGAGTGGGATCCAATGACGTATTATAGCCCACGTAGAATGCTACCTATTTTCAGTACTGGTCCACTCCTATGACCGTTTTGAGATATCGGTTGCAAAAATGGGGTACAGGTACCGTACCGTACGGTAGTGTAGTACAGCCAGGGGTCATAATTTAGACCCCTGCCATGGCACACGTAGCGTACGAGCAANGATAACGGAGGAAATCTTTTGGAGGTGAAACCATCTTTGGAGTCAGAAGTAAGTGAAGACCAAAAACTAGCGAAGACAGACGAAAGCAAAGAGGACGGCACGATTCAAATTCAGGTAAAACGGGTCGAGGATAACGGAGGAAATCTTTTGGAGGTGAAACCATCTTTGGAGTCAGAAGTAAGTGAAGACAAAAAACCAGCGAAGACAGAGGAGACTGGCGAAGACGGAACTAAAAAAAAACAGGAAGCGGCGGAAAATAATATTGGTGGAGAAGACACAAATCCCGAAGAGAGCAGCGAAATTTTGGCATCCGATATTGAGAGCAAAAGACTGGATGAAGGGATGGATGTTCCTTCTATTGAACCAGGTGGAAACAACGAAGACGTATAGACCAAGTTGGGAATGGGATAAAAACGAAGAGACCGAGGAAGGGAAATCGACGATCGAAAGTCTATTTCGTGCAAATTTGGGTGACAAAATTTTATTGTGATAATTACCGATCCTTTTCTAAGATTAAGAAAAACTATTGAGATGTAAACTAAATATAGCCGTTTCCTTGGGGAATCAGTGGCAGAAGTAAACAAGCTGGTTTGCGAGAACTTGCGTCGGTTTTGCCCAAAAGCCCAGCTTGAGTGAATTATGAGTCGACTCGGCCTGTATAATCTTATGCAGCGAAACCCATGTGTTCATGGACATCTACGTGCAACATGGCTCATATGGAAGAGCTATTTCCTTGCCTTACAAGAAATCATTTATCGCATCGAGGCTCCATTGATGCAATCCATGCTGCAATTCCCGATCATAGGTTACGCTATAGCTTTTGTAAGGGAATGAGTTCCATTTGTCCGCTGGGTTCTCATTTATGCTGGCACTGACTTTGAAAAAACGTTGAAGCACAAGAACAACACAACAACCTACGGAAGCAACAACGTCACGACTGTATGTTAAAACATGCCTCATGAATGTTTCTCCAAAAAAAGCGGCAAAAAGAGTATCGGTCGTAGCCAAAATACTGTCTGCAACGTGTGCCGTCCAAAAGAGGAATCCACCATGATTAGGAAAAAAGTCGTTCTTTAATTGGACAGCCCCATCCTTGCTCTTCATATTTTCTTCGACGTCAAAATCCAACAAAGGTAAAAACATAGATTTCAATATACTTGACAGTCCGTACCCATCAACGTCGTGAGTGAGAGCGTGGAACATTTTTTCCATCCAGGATTCGCGTTGGACTGTTGAACGCAATATGTGTGTTCCAACCCATCCAGGACACGCCGATACGAACGGCACGTACACCCTACTGTACGATTGGATCTTAGCTCTGTCCTCGTGACCAAGATTTATCAAGAACTCCCTGTTTGATTCTCTCGCATGCAGTATCTGTGCTAATTTGCTGTTGGCGTATTGACGCTGGCCTTGAAACACAAATTCAATAGAGTTTAGAATGAAACCTATGAAGCCTGTGCGTCCAAGATTGGGCGCATGACTGGCAATGGGGGAGGAGTAAATGTTTGGTTGCTCGTCAGCAGCCGTCTTGTGGACGTTGCTTTCTTGCTTTGCCGATACCGCCAAATATGTCCCATCAACGCCCAAATGAAAAGAAGAGGATACCTGAACAACTCGGGAGGTCAGTGGTGATAGAAGGTATTCGTTGTGACTACTATTGCTACCGTCCTCGTCAGAACCTCCATCCGCCATGCGGGTGCGCATCAATTTCTCCGTTAACAAAACATGAGATAAGTAATTCACTCCGAAAGTCGTTTCGTAGCCTTGCTCCGTAGATCGGGGGGTGATAGAATCAGTGGAAGCAAGCCAAAGCCCAGCATTGCAAACCACTATGTCGATTGTTCGTAGTCCAGCTCGCGAAAGATCACTTCTGATGACATCAACAGCAGTCGAAACTGAATTCAAATCGGACATTTCGGCTACGATCGGGAAGAAGCGTGATTCCAATCGTTGCTCGTGATTTTGTTCTTCTTGGATGTCTCCCAATTCCTTCCGAAGCACCTCGAGTTTGGTCCCGGACCGGCCCATGGCCAGTATCGTCGCGCCTTGTCGGAAAGCCCATAGAACAAGAGAACGACCAATTCCACTGGTCGACCCTGTTACCAAAATAACTATTCCGTCCAGGGGTTTACCAGTTGTCGCGTTCACATCGGCATCTGCCGTGGTAGTCGCTGCTGCTGATTTTTCGTCTCGAAGTAGAAAAACCCGATGGCGATAAGAGTGCGCCAAGTCCTTCAGCGCCGTATCGTCCCAACTTTTTACACTGCTGCTAATTTTGCTGTTCAATGCCATCGTGATCGAAAGGATTGCCACTACGAGGCCCACGAGGGCGCTATTTCCCCTTTTCTTTCTTTCGCCAAAGCTCATGTTGCTCGGTAGATCTTGTCCTGCACTTGCGTTTGCATGTCAACAGAGCCTGCCCCTGCTCTGGAATCAGTACAAGACTCGTTTTCGTAATGGGCAGGTTGTATCAGGTGAAAAAGAGGAAACATCGGCATCCAATTTGTAAAGGTACGTACGGTAGAGCGTCAGAACAGTTACGTACAGGACAGGTACATAACAATATATCAACTAATATTGCAACCATGTAGGACACAGTACAAGTTCTATGTACATGAGACAATGTGCACCAAGC